CCCCCCCCCCCCGGCACAGCCTCTCTGCCCCCAGGCACACACACGCACACGTGCACGCCTGCCCAAACACAGCACACAAGCATGCTCATGTGCATGCATGTGCACACATCAAGCCCATGTGGGTCGGAGCCCCTGCCCTGGCAGGGCATGCCCAGGACAGTGGCTGCACGGAGGTGGCACGGAGCCGGGACTCTGCCCTCACGGGGCACGACCAGGACAGTGGCTGTGCGGGGGTGCACGGAGCCGGGGACTCTGCCCTCACAGGGAATGCCCAGGACAGCGGCTGCGCGGGGGTGCACGGAGCCGGGGACTCTGCCCTCTCTGAAGGGTCCTCCGTTTGGAAGGGGAACAGGGAACCCCATTGACCAGGACAAGGGATGCCCAGTGAGGTGTTTTCCAGGATTTGAGAGATGAGGTTGCCAAAGCCCTGGCCGAGATCCTGGCAGCCGGGGCGGGGTCGGCCGGTGGCAGCTGCACGGGCTCAGACAGGCTCTGGCCCTGGGCAGCAGGCTTTGTCTGAGCAGCCGCACACCAGGCAGCACCCTGCCAGGGCCACCACCTCCGGAGGGGACAGCCCGGTCCCTCCAGGACTGCGGCCAGCTGACAGGAGCGCCATCCCACAGCGGGGCAACAAGTCCCCGCTTCACCCCATGTGTCAGCGAGGGGTCGTAGGCTTACTGGCTGTTCTGATGACCTTGAACTTGCCCAGACCGTCCCCCAGCGAGGCCCCATCCTTCTCCTTCACGCAGGTGTTCTCACTAGGAAGACAAGACTGCCTCGCCGCTGCCCTGGGGCTGCTCTACCCTCCCCCGGCCCTGCCGATCCAGAAGGTGCAAAGCCAGCACCGACCTCCAGCGAGGCGCAAGGCTCCGACACCAGACGGCAGAGACCCTGCCCAGGCAAAAGCCACTCCTGGGGGCGGTGGACACTGGAAGGAGTGACGTGCCCTGCTCCACCTCCACCACCACTCCCCAAGGGCCCAGGGGCACCCACACACCTGGCAGCAGTGGCAGGGCCTCCAGGCTCCTGTGCTACCCAGCGGCACCCAGGATGCCAGGAGGGTGGCCGGGCTGCACTGGCTGGCCAGGCCCTGCCCTGGAGCTCTGACACTGGCAAAAAGGGGCTTTCCTCATTGACCGCGGGGAGAAGGGGGTGGACCCCGAGACCCCTGCTGCTTGCCATACCCAGAGTCCCAGCCCTCGTCCTGGAAGCCTGCCCCACCCAGCACGGCCCTAAGGTCGTGGGTCACATGCCTGTCTCTGCGGACAAGACAGAGGCCTGCCTGGGAACCTCTCGTGGGCAGAGCTATGCCCAGCATCCCTCAGGCAGCCTGAGGCTGCCCGAGCAGACACACAGGTGGCAGGGCCCAGTGGCCGGGAGGTAGGGCTCCTCCTTGCTGCACGCCACTCACTCGTAGTATGCAGCCGTCAGGGCCAGGCGGCTCCCCTCCAGTTCCACCAGCACAGCCCCGGTCTTCATCCTGGGCGGCGGGCTCTGGGGGCCCGTCTTGGAGGCAACGGCGATCTCGTACCAGAGGCCTGAAAACTGGGGACAGGGGTGCAGCTGCCCAGGTGCCCCATCCAGGGTGGCCCTGAAAGCTCCAGGGAGAGCTGGTGAAGGTCCCAGGTGGGGAGTCCTGTCATAGGACCTGCTCCAGACAGGGCCCACCCTACGGCAGTGCTACCTTGAGAAGGTCGAAGCCCTGCCACACACCATCCTGGGCGCCGGCCACCAACCCCACGCACAGCCCCAGTAGGGCAAGGAGTGCTCTACCCGCCATGCGCCCAGCGGGCGGCCTGCGGCCTCTCCAGACCACAGGAGCTGTGGCTTTGGCACCCAGCCCCAGCTTATAGCCTCTGTGAGCACCTGGACGAGCACAGGCTGGCTCTCATTAAGCAGGTGGGCAGCAGGCCCGGGGCCAGCGGCGGCCGCCCACCTGCCAGGTGTCCGGGGGTGCTGGGAGCCGGCTCCAGAGCTGCTGACACCTGCCGGTCACTCATTCAGCAGTCCCGCTGGCCACTGTCCAGCAGGCACGGAGAGGGGCACAGGCCTGGGTGACTCAGGTCCCACTGTGCTCCTGACCTGGCACAGGTACAGGCCCTGGGGCAGGGGTGGCAGAGCCTCAGACTGGCACCCACATGAGGCTGGTGCAGCGCGGCCCTCAGCCAGGAGTGGGCCGGGATGTCCTGACCCTCTCGCCTACTGGCCACCCTCAAGCCCTTTGAAGACGCCACCCGGTCAGCAGTGGCTGAGCGAGCAGCACCACCCACCCGCCTAGGCCCAATGGCCGTGCTGGCAGGCTCTCTCTGCTCACTGACTCGCTCCCGTGGGTTGGGGGTGGCACGATAGAAGGACTGGCTCGTCCAGCAAGGGCCACAGGCTCCCTTGGCCACCCCTCCCTGTGCCAAGAGAGGGTCCAGATCCTGTCCCTGAGGGCATGAGACAGTCCTCCAGATAGTATTGGTGTTGCAAAGAAGGGCAGGGAGAGACACAGAGATGGAGAGGGAGAGAAAGAGAGAGAGACAGAGGGAGAGAGAGACACAGCGAGGCAGAGGGAGGCAGAGGGGACACAGAGGGTGACAGAGGGAGGCAGAGATGGAGAGGGATGGAGACAGACGAGAGGAGGGAGGGTCTCGAAGGACTGCCCTGCTGTGGCCTCTGGCTCCCAGCTCCCAGGCCAGGCACTTGCTGGAGACGCTCCATCGCCGGGGCCGAGGGGCCAGGATGGAGGAGCTGGCTGGGGGCCACCCCGGCCCAGGACCGGTCCCCGCCTCGCCCAGCCACTATACCCTGCTCTGTGTGGCCCCAGGTGCCCTGGCACACATGGCTTCATCTTCCAACTGGTGCCTTGAGGTGAAGTTGCAGGGATGGTGCGTGAGCTCCGGGGCTCAGGGCCCACCCCTGCAGCCTGGCACAGGAGGTGCTGAGTCCGCACTGGGAGCCCACGGACAGAGGGGAGCACGCCCTCAGCTCCTTGAATGGAGGGCTGGCATTTTCATCTCTGGGTCCTGCCGATTATGTAGCCAGCCTGTCTACCCCGGGCCAGCACACCCCTGCCTGGGACAGCAGGGCAGGCCCAGCCTCTGCCCGCTCTGTCCCACAGCGGTGAGCGCCTTGTCCTCTCCGAGTCTGTCTGCCCGTCTGCACAGTGGGGATGAGGCCCCTCTCAGAGGGTTGGGCCGAGGAGGATGCGAACAAACGCAGGTGGGTGATAGGCACCCGTCGTGGGGAGGTGGACACTGCCAAGGTGCTGCTTTCCTGTCTGTCCTGGAACTGGAGGGGAGGACACCGGCACCGTCCCAGGGTGGCACATCCTCCCCAGAGCACCCGTGTCACCTGCAGAGGCTGCCGAGGGGCCTGGGGCACTGAGGACTCGGGGCAGCACAGGGCCCTCGGAGTGCGAGGGCAGGGACTGCTGTCCTGCGGGTGAGCCAGGCCCTCCCGCGCCCCTCAGCCTGCCGGGCAGAGGTCAGCCAGAGGTGGGCCCACCTCATCCCACTGCCGGCGTGCCCTGGGAGCAGCAGCCAGGCAGGCCGTCTCACTGCGGCTCCACACGTGAAAACCGCTACCGACTGCTGCACCTGTGGGCGCTCCCCCAGGAAAGTCACGCGGGGAACCAGGTTCGGCTGCAGAGTTTATTCAGAGTAGTCACCGAGGCCCCTTGGGCGAGGGGGTCCAAGAAGCCAGGACGGGTGGGGCCCCCGCATCATGGCCTGAGGGAGGAGCACCCCTAGATCAGCCCCTGCGACACAGGAGGGCAGGCGCACAGGGCCCTGCTCAGCCCGGAGGCCCGTGGGTGGTGGGCAGGGCCTTGGGCTGGCCAAGCACCGGGTCCGTGAGCCTCAGCCCTCTGCCCAGGGCTGGGCTGAAGAGCCAGGTCGTGCAGGTGGTTAGTGCACGGGGTGGGGGGACCCCGAGTTCGAGCCCAAGGGCCTGCACACAACCTGGCCCTGCCCCTGGCAGGACCTGAAAGGGCAGAGCCAGTGCACGGCCCTGCACGCCCTGCTGGACAGCGAGGCCG